TTTAACCCAAGATTTTCTAATATAATAGAAGTGAAACACCAACGTTTTTCCAACAAAAACTCTTTATTAAGATATAAACCAAAGATCGACTCAGTCAAGCCCTTCAACCGTTAAGGCCCGTTTCAAACGTCGTGCTACTGCCGTGCCGAACTCAATTGCTCGAATTAAATTCGACTTTAGCACGGCAGTAGCGCGACGTTTGAAACCAAGTCGTTACTGCCGTGTAGCACGGCAAGCCTTGCCGTGCTACACGGCAGAAGCTCGACTTGGTTTCAAACGTCGTGCTACCGCAGTGCCAAACTCAATTCATAAATTATAAATACATTAGAATACATTTAAAAGTTCGCTAAACCGTTTCTATTTTTTTGTGTTTTGTTTTAGGCAACAGCCGTTCTATTCGACTGAATTAAATTAGACGTCTGAAATCAAGTCGTGCTAGTGTCGTGCTACAGTCGAGCTACAGTCGAGCCAGCTTGGCACGGCTGTAGCACGACATTTGAAACAGGCTTAAGTCAGCATAGTTTCTAAAGCACTTCCACGTTTCGAAGACAAAATATTGCATTAAACATGTGGAAAATTGTAGAAAAAAGTGCTGTTGCCCAAAAAGCGAAAACATGCTCAAATTCTGCTCAAAAGTCAAGAAAGTGTGCAAGGGTGCTGGAAATGTAAAAATAGTTCTCCAAATTCGAAAAAGTGCTGAAAAATTGCGCAGCACAACCGGGACATGCCTATTCACTGAGTGGTACGTAAAATTGAAGGCAAGGATGATCAGACAGTTCTGGATGGGTTATTTATTTGCCCAATGTTTCGACTAGACAAAAGCAGCCTTCATCAGGGCCAGGAGCTGAAAGGTAAGTGAGAATAGAATAAACGATTGCAATATTCAAAATAATACAAATAAAAAAATAAAATAAAATGTGATTGGCAGAGAAGGACAATAGACGGAAATTTATACAAAGAGGTTACTAAAAATATACATAAATAAATCTTAACGTTTCATCTCATTCCATTTCCTTGCAAGAATTGCTCACTGTGGGGTAGTGTTGTAGGTGCACCATATGGTGGTTACATAGGCTCTTGACTACCGCAAGAAATAAATGCACGTACAGAAAATAAATCATGGTGAATAAATTTATAAAAAAGTGAATAAAATATTCACTGTTCGGACAGGAACAGGAAAAAGAATAGGAAAACAGTGAAAAAACACTGAATCACGATGGAAGGATAATAAATAGGTACCCCTGATATGAAATTGGAGAGTTTAAGCAGCAACGTTTTACAGCGAGGCACGTCAACCGGAAGTGGGTTTTTTCCTCTTTTAGTATGCTTTGACGCTCTTAAAGAGACGATTTGCCCAAGAATTTGTTCAAAATCACGGACAAAGAGTGCAAGTAGCCCACTTACGGTTGGCTCAAAAACGATTGAGCGTCAGCGCAATGAATACATCAAAACTGCAGTACATACGTTTTCGTCTAGCTCCCGTAGCACAGTCGGTTAGAGCGTCGTACTTATAAGCAGTACCGGCCATATAGCCGCCGAGGGTGCTGAAGCAATGCAAAGGTCGCGGGTTCGAATCCCGCCGGGAGCAGGGCATTTTTTTATTTTCTTTCTTTTCATGGCTCTGACTTCGGTAAGGTTGAGAGGATAGTTTTCATAGTTTTCAAGTGCGAGTTGCGAGTCCTGGACGACTATTTTCCCCTTGCCTTGACTTGAACGCGTTCAAGGCTATTGTGCTGCTGTCACTAACTAGACTGACTGAGATTTTTAGTTATATATTTTAATAACTTTATTATTTGATTAAATCAACTTAACAGAAATTTCAATAAGAAGAACGATGCTTCGAATCACTCAGTGAATTTCAAGTTTGTTTCCTTAAGACATGAATTGCGGGATCCTGCATGATCTCCAAATGAACGCTACGGCACTAGTCTTCAAGCCTTCCTATGCCAAAGCAGAACCACCTGGGAGCTATATAGGACATATATTAAGGGGTTTTTTTAATTTTAATGGATTTTCATCCACTATGATACCATAATACATGCTCCGATCAGTATTTTGAGCAAATTAATCCTTTCAGCCGATTAAGGAACGTATTTCAAGCATGATGTCCATAATACTCTTAGAAAGTTATTTGTCTCGCGATATTTTTAGTTAGACATTCTCAGTGAATATCAAAATATAAACAGCATCCTATTGAAAAAGTCAAGCCTAGTTTTATCAAGCTCCGAATTGTCAATTTTGAATTTATGATTTCACTGAGAATCCTAATTTTCTCCCTCATGTGATATGATAGCCTGTGTACAGACGTCCCCACTCCCTCAGAAAAATCTGAGGGAGAGGAGACGTCTGTACACAGGCTAGTGATGTGATGGTAATCCGACAATATGAGGCCTTTTTGCCCCGCAGATTTTAGACGGAAAGATGAATTAGGTGTCTGTGCAGTTAAGTGTGCTCACCACGTTTTTCCCCTTAGAGAGCATATCCGGCAAAAGAATTAACAAGCAGGCTGATCTCCGCTAACTTGCAACGTTGATAATATGTGCTTTACAACAAGTTTTATTCAACAATTTATTTTTTACTGAATTAGGATGGGAAACCCGACGTGATGAAAACAAACTGAAACATGCATGTAATACCAACAAGACCCTCTGCTGGTGTTAAAAGGCTCCATCTACGATGGTGCTTTTTGTGATGACAGAGGGCAAACAATATCGAAAAAAGTCGAAAGGATACCGTCGTTGGAGAGTTTTTCAAGTTTCAAGTTAAAACTTCGCAACGTGATAGGACAGATAAGCCTTGCGAAAATTTAAAAAAACAAACTATGTGCCGTAGACGTACCACTCAAAAGCGATGCAGTAGGTTTTCCTGTTAGGCTGTCTAGTTTCTGGGCCACCCTGAAGGCTCTTGAAAGAGAAACCAAATTACTCCACTAAATTGCTTTCAAAGTCTAGAAAAATTAAGCTATCATTAGCTCTCTACGAACTGATCTCCCAGGGAGCAAGCTTCAGTGACACCCCTGTCTTAATTAAGGACACTCAGAGCTATTCTAAGTATTAGTGGAACACGCAGGGAGGAAGATAGACCTCACACCCTCTACAATGCGGGCATAACTTTCGTTCTTTGTCCCGAAAATGACAGTAGAATTTCTGGGAAATAGTTTAGTCTGTTACCGTGGAACATCGGAGTACGTGCCTTGAAAACCATCATAGTTGAAAAGAAAAGGAAATTGTGGCAAGTAAAAGTGGGACGCACAGAACTGAATATTGAATGTTTGACACAAGGTTTACAAACAGGATCTTCAGTTAATTTTTTTCCCAACTGATCCTGAGCATTACGGATCCATTCATCCGTACGCTGGCTCAATTAACCCACAATCGGCGTCAAAATTAGTTGAGACACTTTGTCCTAAAGAGCCTTTCTGTCGTTTTTCCGACTTATAAAGGGGGAAATGACGCTTTCCCTCCTCCCCTCCACAAAATGTTTTACCGCTGTTCGATCCTGTAGAAAACAACATACATGACAACTTTGAATGGATGAAGGGAGACCTTGGGGAGAGGTATGGATTGTTTTGTTCTCCAAAGATCATTTGAGGGCAATGTCTCAACAATTTTGACGCCGATTGTAGACATAGACATTGAGGATCCGATCACTAGATTAGCATGTTGAAGGTAAGACATAATAAACACATAGAGGAATGACTCAGCAAGGCTTAATAAAACAGTAGCTAACTTCACCCAAAACATCCACAATTCCAACACATATACCAGAAAAGATGAACTGCATCCTGATAATTACTCTCTTCTCTTTCTCTCTAGAATACTCAAAACTTCAATCTAAGACACAAATCAGTGCTACTATGTGAGAGTACTATCATGATATTAGAGAATTTTCACTTGAATGGCTATACCACTTGGTTTTCCACAAAGCACTGCCGTCAAGGTTTCCCGTTTCCGAAAGGTGACCCCAGATGATTTGCCCACAGACCATTATAGGACCATACTTCCACGGCGTTTTTTAAACAAAGGAGGCAGCGTTGTAGAGGGGTTAGAACGTTGGACTTGCAATTCGGAGGCCCGAGTTTAAGTCCCATGATAATTTTTCAAATTTACATGTAGTGTTTCAGTCAGCATCAATGGGAAAACCAAGATCGCTGAGTAACAGAGCAGCGATACCAGTCAATGAACGTAAATGCAGTCCATGGTTGTAAGGATAGGTCAAATCCTGCGGGGAGATGTTGGATTTTAGAGATTGTGTCAGAGGTTGCTCGAGCTGGAGCCTACAGTGTAGCAGTTTTTAATCCATTCCAATAGAATTCTAAACCTTATAGCTTATAATCAGTTTTCTTGTTCCCTTAATGCTTCACCCTGTTTCCCTGTTTCTCACTGGATACAAAAACCTGACTATGTTGTCTTGTTCCTCCATACTGCCAGTAGAACGACCTCGCAGTAATTTTCATTCGGAGGAGTTGGTAATATAATAATTCCGTTATTTACCCTTGGCAGTATTTATAGCACTAATGCTAGTGGGGCCAAGCAAACATCAAACATAACAGAGTTAAGAATCCCAATTGGGCGAAGGCAAACTAGCTGGCTATTTATAGGCCCGGTAGAGGATTTGAACGCAGGACTACCGTCAAATCCAGCTAGCGGTCAGAGTAAACAGCCGTTGTGGAGATGTTACTAGAAGCCTTTCGATTCGTATCGACTGCGGCGACAAGATTTGACTGAAATTTTTTTGTTTTGGGAAGCCTCAATGTGCTTTTTTTAAACCAAAAATGTTAGCACGCCGGTTATGTTATTGATCACAAAATGAGAAAACTTCTAACATTCGATAACTTGCTTCCCTCTACTACGACATTCCCGCAGATTATAACCTGCGATCAGGTGGTTCTTCGAGCCATCGCAGGTGCTGCTGAATGAGTACGGAGTACATACCGGGGGTTCTAGCACGTGACAGTAACTCATTGTTGCTGTTATGAGGCATCGTAGACGGAAAGACTTCTAGCGGTGTTCCTGTCTCATGTAGGTAGTCCAAGTTTCACTGCTGTAGAGCAAGGTACCGAGAACGCATGCCTGGTAGATGTGCTTTTTGATACTTTCAGTCAGGTAAATGTTTTCCCAGGCTGTGTTGGTCAATTTGGACATGCCCGCCGGTGTGTTTGCCGATTCTTTTGGAGATTCTGCGTCAAGGCCCGAGTTCATGGAGATGGTGGAACCGAGGTAGGTGAATTCGTCGACTACCACGAGAGTGTGGTGGCTGATTTTGATTTCAGGGGCATGGCTGACATCTTGGGCACTCACATTGGTTTTCTCGAGGCTGATTTTGAGGCCAAAGTTTATACATGCGCTGGCGAGTTTGGTGATGAGCCTCTGCAATGCTGCCTCGAAATGCGTTGCGAAGGCAGTATCGTCAGCGAAGAGCAAGTCACGCACAAGTACAGTTTTGACTTTGGTTTTGGTGCGGAGGCGAGCCACGTTGAAGAGTTTACCGTCGGGCAAGTATGGAGGTACACTCCGTCGGGAATCAAAGGCGTAGGACAGGAGGAGAGAGGAGAAGATTCCAAAAAGTGTCGGGGATAAGAGACAGCCCTGTTTCCCGCCGCTCGATCTTAAGTAAATCCTTCAAAGGACACGTTGCCTCTCACGCTTTCGTGGTGCTTGGGGGACATCCAATCAGTTCTCTAGGAGCTGGATCAGACCCTTTCCGGTCACGAGGTCAAACGCCTTGGTCAGGTCAAAAAAGGCTAGATAGAGCGGCTTGCCCTGTTCTCGTGACTTCTGGTGTAACTGACGCACAGTGAAAATCATGTCTGTGGTGGATCTCGCCGCCCGGAAACAGTGCTTGCCGTCTAGTGAGGAACAGGCGGGCGATCACCTCGATCACCTCGGGTGGGATGCTATCGCTACTTGGACTTTAGCCGTTTAAGAGAGCGTCTATAGCCTGGCCGAACTCCTTAACGGTGGGCTCAGCGCTAAGCTCGTCCATGACTGGGAGAGGGATGATTGAGTTGAGGGCAGCGTTGGTAACAACTGTCTCTCGCAGATAGAATTCAGAGTCAAGTGTTCCACCAATCTTACCATTTGTTCCTTGGGATCTGTAATGGGATCGGCGGATTTTATTTTGAGGGTGGCAGTTTTCTTTTCAGAAGGACCTAAAGCTTTCTTGATAAGTCCGCGGCTAGCTGTATTTCGTTGCAAAGCTGACGCCAATAGTCTTTGGCACGTGCCAAAGATTTCTCCCCAGGAGCGTTTGTCAGGATCTCTATATCAAGGTCATTTTGCTCTCAGTGACCTATGGTCTTATACTGTGGAGTTCTTGCTGCAACTCTGACTGATTTCAATCTTTGGAACTGCTTCATTGCAGGGCAGCGAGACTTAATTTTAATTTTCCTAAAGGCATGGCATCCGATGAAGTCCTACAACAGGCCCGAATGGCCAATCCTCTCTTTTTATTACAAATTTTCTATTTCTGGTTGTTTTCATAAAGTTTTTCATGAAAAGTTACCTGTCACACTGATAGATTGTATTTCAAAGAAACGGGCCACAAGTTGTTCAACCTGTGCATGCGTTTACCTTATAGTTCCGGGTTTCAACACTTGCTACATGAAAGACCCCGTCGCGTATAGAGGATCAGTCCTATAATTAGTGACCTATAATTATAGTGCCTTGGCAAAAGATATTCCATATCGTGACCTCGGGCTAAGGCTGAAATCTTTTATGAATTTAGCTTTAAGATAACATCCACATCTACTTGTAGTTTTAGAAAAGATGATTTTGTATACACTGGACTTCATGTTAACAATCTCATAATTTGTAAATATTTCTATTGTACATTCTAAAATGTTTTTGTAAATATCGTAAGCTTTTAGTTTTTCTCATTCATTAGTTAGCTGTAAACGACCCCACAATATCTTAGAGCTTCAACACTCATCGTTTTCAAATAAAGGATTTAAAGGCTAAAGGCTATCTAACGTCTGGCAGAGTGTTGTCAGAGTTTCGTCAAGTGGTTCTTTTTGAAGTTCAAGAGGGCTTGTCGTTTGGCCTCAAAAAGGGGCTCCATGATCCAAAGGCTGGAGTTGAACTAGTCGCGACTTGGCCTCTCCTCTCTGCCGAAGGCCGACATGGCCGAAGGGTGGATGGCCTCCCTCAAGACGTACCACCCGGAAGTGGCATCTTGACCCAGGGGGTCCTCGAGGGATACCCCCAGGTATTTTCGCTGACGCTCAGAGTCAAAAGGCCTGGCAGTGTTTATGCGTGGACGACGTTTTTAGTTTCTTTGCCTGCAGTCTGACTAGACTGCACACCAGGGTATGATCAGTATCGCAGTCGGCGCTGTGGTAACTGAGAGTGGGGAGAACGTTGGGCTGGCTGCGTCGTCTGGTGATAACTTGATCAAGCTTGAGCGTACGTGGCGTGTCAAGTGGCATAATAGGGGCGTAGGGGATACAAGGAGAAAGTTGGTGGTGCCATCTGCGGGACTGGTGGTGTTTGTATGAAACATGATGTCGCGGCTTGCCTTCAACGAAGGTGATAGTTATACACAAATTGCGCATGGAGAGAGTACCAAAATTAAAGTGGAACGCACACAGACGGAATTAACTTAGAATTTACTTTTATTTATAATAGGATAAAGAGTGAACTATGCCTTTTTTACACGAACAACGGCGATGTCTCTCAATATGCAAGAAAACAATCTGATTAGAAAAGAAAGCATACCCATCACAATAATCAGGTAAAAAAAAAAGATTGACGACAAAGTGTTCCACAGAAAACAAAACAAAACAAAAAACATCCAAGACCATCTAATTTCTCTAGAGTGACCTAACTAAAACAAAATGAACATTCTTTTCACAATGGTCTGCTATTTTTTATTGTTCTCCATGTTTATTACTCATAGCAAAAATAAGAGGAATTCAGTAAGTGTTCGGCTTTGCTATAATCGTCTCTCCTATACTCAGGGTGGCAAAGGGGGAGGGGGGAGGGGGGAGGGGGGAGGGAGTACCAATTACGCATCACGCCGATTATTTTTAAGCATTCACGCATCACGCGCATCACGGAAAAAAAAAATATTAACTACAATAACAAGTATCCTATTATCATTTGATCTGAGGAAATCAGAGGTGGAGGAACGAAAAAAAGGGTAGAAGTTGGTGTCATAGCTATGTATTTTTAATGTCTCTGCTTCTAGTTTCACATGATCTTAACCATTACGGAAATTTCAAAGGAAAATAATGAGTCACGCGCTGTGAAAATAGCAAATCACGCAACAAGCTGCTACGCCCAATCACGCCTCTGGCGGCTAATTTGGGCCCGATCACGCATCATGCTGATGGGTCCCATCAAGCGTCACGGAAAACCCCTTTACCACCACTGTATACTATCATTTTGGGTAGGTTTGATGTTTTTTTTTTTCACTCTTACAGCTTATCATATGTTTAAACTAGGGGCAGCCTTTTTGTTCAGCCTTTCAGTGATTTCTTAGTACGAGCTGTAGGTTCAGGAGGAAAAAGCAATGACTGGCCACGTGTTGCGATATAGCTAAACTGATGTGCATGTTAGATGTAACTAGTATCAATTAAAAAGCGAACACCGTTTTATCTGTTCAGTTAGAAAAATCCTTCAGAGTATGGAGAAGTCTACGACCGCGACAACAAATTATCAAAATCGTGGCCGAATTAAAAAGGGTACAATCTGAAGAACTGGTATAAACCTGAATAATCAAATTTTTGCCGACGCTTTCTTTCGCGCATCAAAAAGGTGGAAAATCCGCCTCTCTAAAAGAAAAAACAAACAAAGCAAAACGAAGATAACAAAAACAATCGCGGGCCATGGTCAATTTAAACAGAAGACAAAGGGCAAGGCTATTTCCAGGATTTTTTCTGATGTAAGAAGATTACCTAAACTTGTGACTACAAATACTTAATGCGCCAATAGAGAAAGTTATGATGGGGATTATAATCGGGATTTACGGCAGTAAGTCCTTTTTGTCTTTTTTGGCAGATAAAACGTAACCAATTTTTCAAAACACACTGAAAACCGGAAACAGATTGAAAGAGGCAGGCTTCACATAATTTTCGCTGTAATTTATACGCTTGGTGAGGCACGAAAGGGCCACTGAACAACAAGAGGAGGTACGCGAATTAGTCTCGAGCAAACAATAATCTGTGAGGGATTCTCAGAAATTCTACTTCCAAACTTGAAAAAGGCGACCCGTCATCTTCCGAAGTTTCAGCCCTCTAGCTCCTTTCCCACCAGACCTTGGCGAAAGCAAAGAAACATTTCAACATTTTTCATGGACAAGTATAGTTATTTTTGGCAAGACAAGGCCACTTAGTGGATCTTTACTGATACAGGTACTCATGTAGGATTTGCAAGTAGCACTTTGTCTTAGCGACATAAACTGCCTCTTTGAGAAAACAGCGGAAACGAGGAAACTACTGGAGAATGTCGGTCTGTTCAAATTGGGACAAGCATAGGCTCCCACGCAGACGTTCTTAGGGCAACGCGTGACGAACTCCTATGAACGTCTGGAGGCTAGGACAAGCACCCCTTCCGCTAACTACATGTACTAGAATATCTGCTTGTAAGCTGTGCAAGTGGGAGGAAATGAATGAAAATGCCCGTTGACCTTGTGACTTTTAGGAGGAAGTTATTGGTAGTGATAAACAATTAAAACACGATATCTGGTAGGTTGTAACGATGTTAAACTTTCCTGCTCTATTTAAAGTCTTGTAAACTAAGTCACGTTCACACGAATGGCCAGTATTATACTTAGCTAGTGAATCTATCATTTTTTAAACTTTTGGCAAAAGGCCATATCGTAAGGAGCAAAGTAATGAATAAAAAAATTAAGGGCATTTGGCAGTCACCAATTTAGTAGAGGTCACACAGTCTCTTAAGCCTGTGTTATTGGGAAGACTAAGAGCGACGGATGTACAAGAGCTGATAAGTGTTATCAGAAAAAAACTTTGTCGTCCTTGAGTGAGATTCAAATTTCCCATTATCCATTATGGAAAGATCCTCATCTGGCAAACCCTCCTCTCTTCGGTATGCAAAGAACAGTAACTTCTTCACGCATTGGCGCATGATACAGATTAGCTTCGCTCGTAATTCAGTGTATGATTTGAAGTATGCTCTTGCAGCTTAAGAGGTAGGGGGGCGACAGTTTAATTTGTACGACAAATTGTCGGCTTAAGTAATTTTATTTGACTTCTGTTCGCTTCTACCTTTGCCAAATTTTATATATTAAATTTTTCGGCATTTTAAAGATGAAAAGATCTGAAGACGCCGAAAACTTGCTAAGAGGATAAGGAAGAACTAACTGATTCCAAGATAGACATTAAATTAAATGGAGAAAAAAAAATGACGTTTGCATGGTTATTTTTCGTTCTAGAGCTGTTAGATCTAGGGATTAGCATAAATCGGATTTATTTTAAATTAGTACGTAATTTTGCTAAGGGTATGGTCAGAAGTTTAGCATTGCACTAATTCATGGACAACCGCAACATTTTGGC